CACCTTCGTGCACAGTATAGCGATACTTATTCTCTTTCCTTACTTTGTAAACTCGTTTTCAGGCCAAAAGATCAGATTTTACAAGGTTTCCTTCGAAACAGTTATTTTCTGTATCTTGAAGTTGAGGGAACCAATTTTTCTTCAATTCAATTGGGGGGATTTATTCGTAATTTTTATTCAAAAAAAGAAGAACCAATTGAATACATTCTGACTCGGCTATGAGAAAATGTGATCCGACATGCGGACAATCTGAGACAAGGTCCAGCCACCAACTCCTCAAATTTATAACCTTAAACTTTGGCCCGATTTTTCATTCAACAATTTCCAAGGAAAGTATTTTGAGAAAATTATTTTTCCCTTTGTAACAAAAAGAACTCTTTGATGAGTATTTTCCAACGTACAGTATTTCATTTCAATTGGAACAAAATTTTCAGACATGTTAAACATGGACAGTATTCTTTATATAAGTAATCCAAATTTAGTATAGTATTGTACTGTATTCGAATGCATTTCACTTGACGAAGTAATAAGTGAACTTCCTTCCCTCATCTGATGGGACATCAGATTCCTTCATTTAGTTGCATAGGAACCCAAAAATTTAGCAAAAGCTTAACGCGTTGTCTTTCATACTATTTTCGAAAACTTGAGGCGTTTTAGGGCCCCAACTATGTGCTTTACTTTATGCTCAGGAAAGAGCAGAAAAGTCTTGACTTTCGGCCTTGATACTGACGTGAATGCAATTCAACCGAATACGCTTCAGAAAGGCTGTCAGTTCGGAAAAAAACTCAAATGGTGAATCCAATCACACCACATTCTGCTCTAGCTTCATGGATATGAATCACCTAAGACATCCAATAAGAAACCGAACACAGGCCCTATATCAAGTTCGCAAAATTTACAATCCTTTTCATGAAACGTCACCTGAAATTTCCCTGGTTGCGAACAAAAAATATTCCAAATTTTAAGTTCACTTTTTCGTTCAATTTTTCTTTTCCATCGAAGTCAGTAGGCCCAACCTCAACATGAGTCACGCCTCTGGAAGTCCACTGAACTCAAGGGGGCAGAATGCGATAAAAATAAAATTTGGGAAACGTAATTACATTTTCTTTTCGTTCTTCTTAAAAAAACGACGAACTTTTACTAATTCCCGGTCTTTTGCACGCAAAATAAATTCATATTCTGTGTAAATTGTGTCTGGAGAGATAATGACGATAAAATCGTTGACGAAAAAACAGGATCGCCCAAAAAAAGGACGCTTTTCAACCTGGAGTAACTCGTGAACGATTCACACATCTTTCAAACGAATTAAAAGCTTTGTCAATTACCTTTAGAGTTATTTATGTTTTTGGACTTCATGCGAATTTTCCTCAATTTCACGACTAGAAAATGAACGCTCCGAACTTTTACGACTGGTATGAAGGTTGCCCACGTGATCTGCGGCTCGATTACCGATTTTAGTTATATTTAACAACGGTTAAGCTATTAAGTTACAGGACGGTTCGAAAACAAAATACAAAATTTATTTTTAGAGTACCTAAACGTTGAGTTACGTGGGAACCGCTTTTAACGTAGCGTCGTAGTGCTTACGTGTTACTAGAACTTGATGAACATCCAATTGTAGATTTGTTTTGGGAATTCTTATTTTACATGCTATACTGAGAAGAATTTAGTTTCCAAAGTTATTCTTACTTATTTCTTCAACATCCCGTCACAGTTGCGAACAATAATGAGGATTGGAATGAATGTGGTGTGGAATGCACACGGGTTTCAAGCGTTCCATCAGGGACCTGGACGTGTTTAAATTTCAAAGACCACCTCTTCGTACTTGTTCCATGACGTCCTTCTTAGATAACGGAAATATAAAAAAAGAAGACCTGTGTGGTATTCCAGTCAAAATATTCGGAACCAAATAACGCGAGAAGTTGTTCAAAGGGCGTCAAAATTATTCAGAACATAAAAAATTAGGAATAGGATACCAGAACAATAACTTAATGGCTAAAATCAATATAAATTGTTGCCAATTCGATAATTCAATGTCCTGCCAAGCTTTTGTTTTATGTTTTAAATAAAAATCTCATGGATTTGCAACTCAATGCACCCTTGGCGAAAATTGCATCAGTCGTAGTGCTTACGTGTTCCTAGAACTTGATGAACATCCAATTGTAGATTTGTTTTGGGAATTCTTATTTTACACGCTGTACTGCAAAGAATTTAGTTCAAAAAGTTATTCTTATTTCTTTCTTCAACATCCCGTCACAGTTGCGAACAATAATGAGGAATGAAATGAATGTGGTGTGGAATCCACACGGGTTTCAAGCGTACTATCAGGGACCTGGACGTGTTTGAATTTTGAAGACCACCTCTTCGTACTTGTTCCATGACGTCCTTCTTAGATAACGGAAATATAAAAAAGAAGACCTGTGTGGTATTCCAGTCAAAATATTCGGAACCAAATAACGCGAGAAGTTGTTCAAAGGGCGTCAAAATTATTCAGAACATAAAAAATTAGGAATAGGATACCAGAACAATAACTACGGCTGGATTCTTGCCGAATTCATATTTATCTATCTTGCCATAGTTCACTTATCGTCATACATTTCTTGAATTTGAAACGTTGAGATTTTCCGTCTCGAGGATTTCGCATCAGTTTAAAACTGACTGCAGGATTGACTTGTTGTTATTATAAATATTTTTCAGGTAGCTGAGTAAGCGAAGTACGTTCCTAACCTCAAATTTATTCGTCTACTTCTTTAATAGAAGTTCTTGATCTTTGGATGAAACTTACCAAACTTGAAAGTCCGACTTTCTGGAACTTTGCCTTCAAAATTAAATTTTTCTTTCGAACAACGTCCAAATGAATTTTTTCATTTAAATTAATCTGACCAGCACATGGAACTGAAAAAAACACATACAGTATCACCACGGAGAAAAGTTTGACACGAGGGCAAACGGAATTAATTTTCGGATTGTCTAACTTGAGCGTGTTTTTTGGCGTGTTTTGACTACAGTAAAATCGTTTCCGCATGATTTATTTTAATCCAATTTTTCCGCAATTTTTGTTAATAAAAAGGTGAGGAGGCAGAAAAAATTTCGGTTACATTTTCGACGGAAATCTCTTAGAAGCAAAGCATTAAAAACCTCCAAAACTCGAAAGCTCGAAGTTATTGGAGATCTCTAGGCAATTATTTTACTGAAACAAGAAAGAAAAAAGAAAGAAAAAATGAACACGATGCATTTCGAAAGGAAGTGGAAGACTAATTGGGCAAACGAACCCTTGCCTCGAAGTTCAGCATCCTGTCAAGTCATTTAGAAAGCAATTAAAAGTCCAGAAAATCAACAATTACAATTTCCTGTAATTCTTTCTTTCTCTCGCCCCAAAAAAAAAAATGCCTTGACTCAAAATTTTCCCTTGAAGAGTTGAAGTTCGACTTGAAAATGTTTGACTGTACTGTACTAACGATTTCAGGCCAAACATAATTGAGACAACCTTCACACAATAGACGAATCTTCAGTCCTCACAAGACAACACAATGCGGTTTTTTTTTCTCTCCGGACGAATTAAATTAAAATGAGCGAGCTGGTCATAAAATTGCACGGGAAGCCGTAAAAGTGGGAAATGGCATCTACAGACAGCTATGGACATCATCCCTTCGAAATGCTGTTTCTCAACTACAATTTCATATATAATTTCGATAATTATACCGCATTTATGCAAGTACCACACACACACCTGTTTTCTACAAATAAAATATTGCGAAACCTGTGGTGCAACCCTCGAGTGATTTTCTGTGGGTCAAAGCAGTGAATCGGGGATTCCGTTTGGCACCAATTCTTTTAAAATGCTTCATTTCAGTGCATTTCTTCGGGGACAATTTTGCTTAACCTTATTATTTAAGAAAAATCGATGTTCAACCATTTAGAAATTGGGCACGTGTCTTATACGGGAAACGCGTTTGAGCCAATTAGGTACTTGGGTGAATACGGTACTGACACAAGAAAAATTATTGACGTCTGACCAGAATTGCCTCCTCTGAGTCTATGTCAAGAAAGGTTTTACAGAAAAAATTTTTTTTTGCAAAATAACTTTTGGGGACTTCAGAACGAGTTGGTTACACTGAATAATTATTTTTCAGAAAATTTAAAAAAAGGAACCTCGAAAACCTAACCCAACAAAAACTGGTGTACCCCAAACCTTTTTGGGCCCACGGACCAGCACATTTCCGCCAACTTTTGTCACATACAAATAAATTTCCAGAACAAAGTTTTGCAGACTGGCGAAGTTTCATAAAATTATTGCAGACGGAAATAAATTTTCACGTCAGGTCTGCCTATAACCAATTATATCTTGCTGTTCCGGCATTTTCAATTTTTCAATTGTTACTTTGAAAACTCAGTGATCTTCTGACAAGAAAATTAGTTTGAATCATGCATTCCTTCAGTTGTATGCCAAAATCCCTTCATTCTGGGAGGATCATATGTGGAACCACTTGAAAGCGTGTTTGTCATTGAATACAGCTTCCATCAATAACCAGTCAGTCACATTTGGGATCAGAGATTTCAGACTGAGCCTGCCTTAGCCAAGAAAGTTCCACCAGTAGAACCTTTCAAACATTCCTCAAAAAAGTTTGTTATACTCTAATGGATTTGGGAGGTTTGTTATACAGTAACAAACATTTTTAACATGTACTCTATGAGCTTTCTGCTGGGACTTCAGACAAATTTTGTTATGCTAAAAAAAATGTTTTGTCACTAGATGTTACTGCGCAAGTTGATTCTCTCTGCAAAAAATTTCAAAGGATCAAAAAATTCGTTAGCAAAACTATTTTGTTGCACAGAATCCACATAACATGGGAAGTGAGCCCTACCTATGGGACCAAAGAATATTTGTCACACAGAGATTTTTGCTTTTGAGATTGTTGAGAGATTCCATCTGCATACTGTATACTGTAGTACAGGTGAACTTCAATAACTCAAACCTCCTTAAGTCAAATACCCCCCTAAGTCAAATTTTTTTCAGATCCCCTCTGAATCCCCTTAGAAACAATACATAAAAAACCTCCCTAAGTTGAAAGCTTTTCCTCTCAAACCTCCAAAGGTCGAATTTTCTGTGGCCTGTTGGCCAATACTTTCTTGACCCAATAAAGAAAAAACCAATCAAAACAGAAATGCATGTGCTTTAAAGGAAGTGGAAGACTTAATTGGGCAAATGAACCCCTGCCTCCAAGTTCAGCAGCCTTTCAACTCATTTAAGAAGCCATTTAAGCTTTAGAATATCTCCATTTAAATTGTTTCCAAGTTTTCCAGAAAAAAGGGCTTTGTATTGCAGTTCCAACCTATACAATTCCTGACCTCCCTAAGTCGAATTATTTTGCAGGTCCCTTGAAATTCGACTTACAGAGGTTCGATTGTATCAAATACGGGCGGATTCTTTCTAAAACGAAATTCTCTTCAACGAATTTTTTTTTTCCTGGTCCCCTGAATTTCGTTGTAGAAGGATTCCACCTGCAGCACATTGTTTCTTTCAATTAAAAAATGAAAAAAATAAACGAAGTACTATCGACGAATTTAAAAGTCAGAAACGAATTGAACAACAAAATGACTGAAAGAGGAGAACCTGGAAGCTAACCAGCCGAAACCACCGCCGTGCCCGACTCCCCCGCGCCAGCTACGGCCGCCGCGGCAACCCCCTGCTGAAAAGGAGGCGCTCTGGGAACTAAACGTCGCACAGACGACAGAACTCCTTCAAGAGCAGGTCATCCTGGGACACGTCCACTTCTCCGTGGTAGATGAAGTAGATGATGTTCTCCAGGTGCGTGTAATTCACGCCCCGCAGTATCACTATCGGGTGCTCGCACGGATTCGCCTGCAACACGCCAAAATAGAAAATCAATAAAAATTTAATAAATTTCGCACTCTTCAAGATCACGTTCATTCTAAAATAATGTTAGAGGTATTTCGCCAATTACCTCTTCACTGCGAGCTTCCAACTTCAACATATTTGCTGTTTCATCCTTTGATTTTTGGAAAAATCAAAAATTGATTTCCCAATTATTTTTTTTTACAAAATCTCATCTGAGAAAATTTAAAAAAGAAGGACCCTCGAAAACCTAACCTAACATAAACTAGTGTACCCTAACCTTTGTGGGCCCATGGACCAGCAAATTTCCGCCAACTTTTGTCACATACAAATAAATTTCCAGAACAAAGTTTTGCAGACTGGCGAAGTTTCATAAAATTATTGCAGACTCGAGAAAGTTTTGTTTTAGAGGATTTGTGGCCATGAAGCAGCTATAGTAGAATTTCTCCAAATAATTAGAAACATGGGCTTAAAGAAAGATTTCTCAGAGTGAAAAAATGAAATTATTTATTTCAGCAGGTGAAAATTCGTCTGAAGTGTCAAGAGGAGAAAATCCAACTTTTTATTTTTCATCGGATAATTTCAATTGCCATTGGCTCTTCAAAATTGTAGATGAAGATGATAGACTCCATACGCTATTTTTGATAAACTTATTATGCTGAAAATTTCCTGCAGACTGGCAAAAACGTCTGCGGATCACGGCCGGTCCGTGGACCACCGGTTGGGTAACACTGGCCAAAAGTAACCCAACTTGAATAATTAATCATTAAAATAATTAAAACTAACCTAACCTAACGATAGTTGAAAAACCGCGACGACTCCAATACTGTACATTTGCTTTGTGCATTATACAAAAGATAAAAAGCCAGATTCGTCAGTCCTGCGCTGTTTTTTAATGAATAAATCGAGACGGACTCAGAAATTCAACGACTGCCCAGAATGAAGTACATTAAAAGACTTGAATTCCAAAATTTTGAATACGGTAAAAAAAATATCACAGAGAATACTCCGCAAGAATTTTTAGTTTTTTTTTCGTAGAGCGGAAAATGTCGATAATTTTACCGAACGCGAGTATATTTGTGGTCATCGCAACCATAGAAGAAAATCTCCGCAGTTTTATGAGAACATTATCAAGAACTGATGAAAAATATTTTTAACCCAGTTTCGCAAGTCATTCGCAAAATGTCGTTACAGAGTTCATTCATTCGCGACTAATAGCATCATACAAATCATAGATGAAAGAAGGCACTGCGTTTCAAACCTGAAGTTACTTCTGAATGAATTTCACATCCCATTTTACATTTAAATAATCGATGCAAGTCGTATGCTTGAAAAAATAAAAAGACTCTTCAGACACTAAGTGGGTGTTTGGTTTTTATCTTCGCTTGTTTTTGACCAGTGCCTTATGTAGTAGTAATTTAATAAGAACTCTTTACCTTCTCTAGAGATATTTTTCCAAGCATTTCAAGGCCTACGATTTTTCAACGATCGACAACTTTGTCATAAGTTGGTTATGGACTAAACTTCGATGAATAACAAATGAATTGTAGAAGATGCCGTAAGGAATTTCTTTTTACGCGACTTTGATGACTTGAGAAGTTCAGGCCGAAATGGGGAACCCGAGATCTCCCAAAAAAAGAATTTTACACATTCTCATCGAAAATGAGAACGTTCCCTTTCCTTTACCGATTTTATGACACTGCCATTCATAAATTGAACCATTAGTATGACTACGTGAGAGGACTTGCTAAAACCCAGCATCTCACCCAGTGTGCATAAATCGTCTCTTATGAGTTTTCAGCACAGAATTTTTTTTTTCATTTTTCTTTGTCTGGTTGAAGCCACCTACTGGGGATTTCGAAGGCTATTTCCATTTTGTACAAAAATTCCAAACTTTAAAATTTTAACATTAAAGGGTGCTGAGAACATTTGAGTTAAACAAAGGGGAAATCCCGAGAAAAATATTTGGTGCTCGAGAAATGTATTAAGGCAGAATGTTTTTTGAGATTGCAATTGGATTCTTTCACAGCTAATTCAACCTATCTGAATCACGTTCTCGAGAGTTTTACAAGTATTTCCCAAGACATTCCTCAGTTTGACAGACAATAATCCTCGTCTTCAGAATGCCATCAAAGTACTCCGATTTCCCCCAACCCCCAATTTATCGCAACAAAGTCAGTAAAATACCCCCTACGCTTTTCCGGGTCTCTCCCAGGTTTCCAAATCTGCCAGAAAAATAATTTTCTTCTTTCAAACATACGTTTAGCAAATATCTCATGGTTGCATGCTCTTAAACCCCCAAAATACAGCGAGACCCCGATATGCGGACACCCCGATATACGGATGGATTCGACATAGGGACCTTAAAACCTCAAAAAACATCTGGCCCACCATCCGAACTGGTTCAATACTTGAGATATCAATACTTCTCTGACATTTTCCAGACACATCAAAAATTTTCATTTTAAAATTTTGATACTACGAACAAGTTGAGCTATTTATATTCAAAAATTGAAAAGAATGCAATATAAATGTATTCTAGTTCATGATTTAAAAAAAAAACAAGCTGATTTCGTGCTTCTTTTTTTCGATCATCTGTGCACATTACAGCGAGACTTAATCGCGTTCTCCGCTTTTTAAGCTCCTTTTCATGCCAAATGATCAGATCTTATGTGGTTTTCTTCAACACAGTAGTTTTCTGTATCTTGAAGTTGAGGGAAACAATTTTTATGCATTTTTTTGGAGGGCGCATTCCTAATCTTTGACGAACAGGTGAACCAATGACATACGTTTGAATTGAAGTCTATGGGAAAATGAGATCCGACATGCGGACGATCCGACATAGGGCCAAGGTCCAGCACCAATTACGTCTGAGGTCCCACTACAAACTTATTCGGGCTCTAAGCGGCCTCTAAATTTTTTTGCAAAACTTCACAGAATGATGACGCGCCAAAATAGAAAAAAATCAAACAAATCATCACAGCATCATCTTCCGGCCATTCCTGATGGCTTAGTTCCTCAGAAAAAAAAACCCCCATCGTGATCATGCTTCCCACGGTCCAAAAATGACTCCCCAGGTTGTTTCCCACCTAATCTCGATCAAACACGCGCCAATTTCATAATCCGCGCCGGTGTTTCCCAAGCCTCGTATCCCGGATATCGAGCAAATACCGGGAGCAATAAGATTTTCTGCAAGCCCTCCCTCCGTGATGCCTTTTCCTCCCCAGCTGCTGCAAAGCAAACAAGTACTGCTAATCAGCGCAATTTGGCGAAACTAAAGTCCCACTTGATCACACTCACTCAAGGACCGGGATTACGAACCGAAATACACGCCGCCAGTTCAGCAGTTTTGATTTTTTTTTAACTTGCGAAGTACAAAATACAATACTGTACGAAGTTGGACTTCGAAAAACAGCAACAACAAAAATCGAGCTGAGGAGGTTTTGAGTAAATGAAACCCGAATTTCCGTCGTAAGAAGGGGAGAAGAATTACAGGAAATTGTAATTGGCGATATTTTGGACAGGATGCTGAACTTGGATGTAAGGGTTCATTTGCCCAATTAGTCTTTCACTTCCTATCAAAACAAATGAAGCGATATTTTTATTGCTTTTCTGTTTCCTGCGTCAATGAAATGATAGCCAAAAGATCTCCAGAAACTTCGCGCTATGGAGGTTTGAGGGGGGAAATCCTTCGATGCATCGTTTCAAAAGAATATCTGACAGGGACTAGAACAAATTCGACACGATGGAATATTCAACTTCTTGAGGTTCAACTGTACATGAGCAAAAATAAAAACTGAACGAATTTGAAATCCCTTTAGTCATGATATTTGAAGTTCTCGAAAAACGTAATTGAAATCCAACCTTCTAACGGTTTCACATGAGCCCAAAAAAACATGTTCAAAGCAGGTACTGGGACTCGAAGAGTTGCTTCACTTTTTAGCGCTGGAAAATTTGATTTTAGCAGGTCTGAGGATTAATACATAAGTCGCGTCAGAATGAGGTAACCCTCTTCGGCAGTCTTGCCGCATTAATGAAAATATTCGCAATTTTTAAAATGTCTCATTCGATCATATTCTGGCAACAGTTCGAATTTTTCGACACTCAGGTTGAAATGAAGAAACGATGGAGAATTTTGAAAATGTTTTTCATCAATAAGAAAAAAGTCGAGTTTACCTGACTATGAATCATGCAAACCAAACTTGCATGCGAAACAAAACTCATTTAAATATTTAAATAACTGGAATATTCTCTCGACAAAGAAGTCCCATATCTGAAAACCAGGGTCCGATGAAAAAAAAATTTGATCTTGGAAATATTTGTGTTTGAAATTCCAGAAAAAGTTTGCACTGAAATATAAATTGGAGATCCTCCAGTTGGTCCACCCAAGAACACTTCAATAAGATAAAATTGCTGAGAATTCTTTCAAGTAATACAGTATTAATATTTGTGTTTGAAATTCCAGAAAAAGTTTGCACTGAAATATAAATTGGAGATCCTCCAGTTGGTCCACCCAAGAACACTTCAATAAGATAAAATTGCTGAGAATTCTTTCAAGTAATACAGTATTAATAATTGTTACAGTGATTTTGAGGATTCTGACTCAGAAAAATGAGCACTCAAATAACCTCCATTTCAAGGGGCTGATTAAAAAAAAGGTTTTAAATCATCCTTCGTATGTCCTGAAGAAGGAAGCTCGATCAAGAACTTTTAGAAACTTCGTACGTCACATGTTTTCGAAACTTAATGCATCATGCTCGGTAAATTTGAAAGGAAAACATCATCTGATTTCCCCAGGTTATTCCATAATGCATCATCAAAAAAATCCACTCGTCATTTTGAAAAAATAGCTCGTGCACTTTTGTCTCAAGTTCGATCCCGTTATCGTCGAATAATGGCATGTCAAAAATCAAAATCAATGCAAATAAATTCCCATTCTTCTCAAGAAGACATTATGTAACACGTCGATACCAGTAACAAAAATTCGATCATCACTATGATAAACGGAATTTTCTCGAACAAATACTGGGATCAACAATAAAAAAGCAAAGAAGTTTTACTGGAAAGTTTTCCCAGATATTTTTCACGGCGTAAGTGAGCAGTTCGTTCGATCGGGTTCTAATCGTTCGAATCAGTTCCCAAGTTTTATTTTGAAATCGTAAGAAGAAAGGGCGATAAATTTCATGGAAAAAATGCTTCCGTGCTGTAAATTCAAACGATTTGATTTGCCAGAACAGCTTGATTAACGAGCAGCTCAATAAAATTGCAGTCGGTTTGCAATGCAGATCAATTCACCTTAACAATTCCAGAAAAATGCATGTCACAATATTTTTTTAATACGATGCAGCTTATTTTTAGGGTAAAACATGCATAAATAATATAAAAATTACTGTAGACTTTGCGAGTTGCAATACGCAAAAAAAAACTCCGCACTGTTTTATGCTGAAATATGGCTAAAATTTAAAATACAAACTGTGCTACGTACTCATATTGCCCCACATTCGACACGAAATTTCATCTTTATTGACCTGAGCTTATTTTTCGGAAAGGAATTACTGTATATCAGAAGTACCTGCAGGTATTCGTAAGGCTTCTTTCGTGAATGCGACTATTTTTAGAAAAATGCGGTCATGACCCCAAAAATCTCTTTTGCTGATCCGACAGTTTATATCTGATGGCTCAACATTCAATTTGATGTCACGGGTATTCAAGGATTGTCCTTTTTTGGGCCATTGTTTCAAGAGGGGTCTCCAAACCCCGATTGGATATTCAAAAATATTTTTCTTCAAGTATTTTTTTTCTCAAATGGACGGAGTTCTTACAGAATAACATATTGAAAAGTTTTTCAAGATAATGTTTTCAATATTTTCAACACTGAAAACAAGTAAATAATTTTCACCTTTCATATTGGCATGCTGCATACATTTCTGGAAGATTTAAAATTTAAGAATCACCAAGTAATTGTGACTGACGATGTAATTTTGTTCGCAAGTCAGGATTGCAATGGAAGAAAATATTCATCGAAAGTACTGTAACGTCTCGGCATTGATCATATTACAGTACACGTACTGTATTGCAATTGGAAAGATCAAATTCCAAAATGAAGTAGTGACAAAAAGGTCATCATCTTTGTCGATTCGTCATTCATTTTGCTTTTTTCTATGGGTCAATTGACGAATGGGGTTTTCTTGACATTTTTGAGATACTGCAGTAACTCTGAATGGAAATATTTCCCAGAAGAATCTTTCGATGATCGAGCAGTTGTCCAAGCAATGAAAGAAAACATTTTGGAAAAAATAAGCACCAGCTAACAGCATATTTCCGTGGTCCATGATATTGAGGTTTTCAAGATTCAGAGAAAAAGTTGTGACAAAATACCAGGTCCATTGATTGCATACTGTTTATCAGTGAAATATTTGTGTTTTTATCACAGTTGAACCTCTTCAATTTGAATTCCACGGGACTAACTTTCTGGCTGCTCCAGGCTCCAAGCCCAAGATAAAATTTGAAAAGCTGGAGAAAACCCACAGCCATACGTGACTGTTTGGTTGGAACGAGTCAACAAAACTACTTTCCAACCAACTAAGTCCTCAAACCTAAAATATTCCTCCCTCGTGGCTCAAATCTGGTTATCTTGAATCCGTTTCTTTTTCAAAAGTGTCAAAGATAAGGATGTGTGTGTGTGCTATGCGAGTACCAAATGGTTCAATAGTATTCATTTCAAAATGATCCTTGAAAAATGGTTTTAATTGTGACTTTTGTGAGATATTCACAGATATCAAATGAAGCAATTTGGAAAGTTTGGATAATACACCGGCTATATGTGATTGTTTGGCTGGTGCCAGCCAACAGAAGTCCTCCCGTGGTGCTCTACTAAAGTACATGTGGAAACTTCATACACTATACCAGTGTTCCCCAACCCCTGGTCTGCAGACTGGCACTGGTCCACAGAAAATTTTTTGCCAGCCCACAGGAAATTTTCTGCAGCATAAAAAGTAGCAATAAAGTCTGTTATCTTTATCTTAAATTTTGGAAAGACATTGACAGTTGAAATTATCTGATGAAAAGTAAAAGTTGGGTTTTCTCCTAGTTACACTTCAACAAATTGACATCTGCTGAAAGAATGTATTTCATTTTTTTTTCATTCCAAGAAACCTTTCTTCGAGATTACTTTTCTAATTTTTTGAAGACATTCCAATTTAGCTGCTCTATTGATTCTCAATTTTCGAAAAAACCAAATTTTTTGAATATCGGCCATGAAGTGTTGCAAACTAATGTTTTTTTCAAATCTACAAAAGTTCTATGAAACTTTGCTAGCCTGCAGGAAATTTCCTGGTCCACAAACAAAACTATGAAAATTTGCCAGTCTTTTGGCTCAAAAAAGTTAGGGAACACGGCTCTATAAGACAAAATTCAGGGGACCATAATGTTTTTTAGAGAACCTCCTAATATAAATTCATAAAGATTGATATTCATATAGTTCAATCCTTTTTCATGATGTTAAAGTTGGATTTTCCAATTTTGCGCCAATTATTAAAAATTCTTAATGCCTAAACAGTACACATATACCGTAATCAAAGCAAAAATCAATTATACTGTAAAAAGATTTTTTGGTGAAAATTAAGTTGTAAAAATAAATTTTCACAGCATATTGTTCCTGCAGATAAACTTATGGGACCAAGGAAACATTGTCATTACAAATTGTTTGAACAAGATCCATTGTTATTGAATTCAACTGCACTACTCAGTGGTACTGAACAGTTTCCAGAGCTCTGGAGCAGAGCACCAGCCCAGAGCAGGTGATTGTGTCCAGAGCAGAAAAAAAGTTTTTTGTACCCTGCACCAAGTCCCTGATTTCAACTGCCATTGTATTTCCAAAATTTCACATAATGACAACAGACTTCATTGCTACTTTTGATAAGTTTATTATGCTGAAGAAAATTTCCAGCTAATCAGCAAAAAATGTCCACAGACCAGTGCCGGACAGTGGACCACAGAGTTGGGGAACACTGCCCTATGGGACCAAAAAAGTATTCCTTATACAGAGATAATTTGTGCAGACAAAATCATTGTAGAGAGAGTTCACCTTTAGTTTGCTGTTTTCTTGAACTTCGAATTGAAGAGCTTTGACTGCATTTTTCTCCAATGTTTAGTGGTGGTGGGGAGTAGGTGAAAACAAATGAAGAAAGAAAGAAAGGATCGAAGGAAGAGAGAAAGAAAGATTAACCTTGAGCAACCCCTTGAAGAAAGGACTCAAAAGGGTTCGACTGTATTTTTCTCAATTTTTTTTTTTTTTTTTTTTTTTTCGTGGGAATGGGGAAAAGATGAAAACATAATGAAGCAAGAAAGAAGGGAAGGAATGAATGAATGAAGAAAGAAAGAAAGACGAACCTTGAGCAATCCCTTGAAGTAAGGACTGCAGGCGGAAAGCAGCATCTTGTGGGCCTTGATGCTCCTGCCTTCACATGCCAGGGTGACATCCACGAAGTCCTCCTCCTCCCGGAGCTGCGAGAACGAGGTGACGATCGTCGGCTGGTAACTGCTCCACCTCAAGCAGAACCTCTGCGTTTCACCCATCTTGGCATCACGACGCCACGGCCACAAAATCACTCCTGCTACTACTACTCATGCTAAACAACACACATAACACACACACACGCAAACTCTTCTTCCTTCTTCTTCGTCTGTTGCTTCTTCTTTTGCTAGTCAATCTTTTATTCCGCTCACTCTCCTCAGCAGCAACAACAACAACAACAGTCGCTATGCACTCGTCAGGTATATTTCCCTTTCTTCCTCTGAATTATTTATTACACTGTATATCACACTACTTGCCTGCGGACAAAACATAATAATACATTAGTGAGGGAGCCGTCGCACGCAAAATAAGTACTGTACTGCACTTGCACACTGGTACTCGGAAAGTTCTCGGACAGAAGATAGGAAGGAACCATTATTTTCAAAAGTGCGCATCTCCACAAAATTGCACGAGTTTTCATACTCTGGGTACTCCCGATATTTAAAAAAAATAATAATGTCGATCACCAATATTGATGCACTTTTGTAACACTCGTGTTGATGTTTCGTAGCAGAACATTTTTCCCGCTAGAGTATTCTTCAAAAGTTCTCTCACGTTGAAAACAGGCCTTGGGATCGGCAACCAAAGGATTTATGCTCGTCGAAGAACATTTCATGCCCACAAGCTTCGATATTTAGGCCCACACAACTTCCCAATACCAGTATAACAAAATTGTTTCCAATCATCGGGAAGTTCTATGACAGAGATTGAAATGTTCTGAAATCAGCAGCATTTTCAAAAGTTCATATCTGCACAAAATTGCACAAGTTTTCATATTTACGGTATTCTCGAAATTTTAAAGAAGTCTGTTCACCAATATTGATGCCCTTTTAAAACTCATAATGATACAACAGTTAATTTCTCAGAGAAATTTATTCCTCTCACGAAGATATTTCTGAAGTTCTCTCACGTGAAAAAACAGGTCNTCATATCTGCACAAAATTGCACAAGTTTTCATATTTACGGTATTCTCGAAATTTTAAAGAAGTCTGTTCACCAATATTGATGCCCTTTTAAAACTCATAATGATACAACAGTTAATTTCTCAGAGAAATTTATTCCTCTCACGAAGATATTTCTGAAGTTCTCTCACGTGAAAAAACAGGTCCTGGAATCAACAATCGAAGGATTCATGTTCGACGAATAACATGTCATCCCTACAAGCTTGAATATTCAAGGCCTTTTTTGGTACAGGTTTTCATCAAATTCCCAGGCAATTTCGGAATCCATGACTATCATTGTTACACTGACTTTTTCCACAAAGAACACGCGGAATTCATGCAAGAATAATTTTTAAAATTCATCGAATGGATAAGAGATGCCTCGAATCGATTTTAGAATGGCTTTCCTCGCACGAAAGCCGCTTCATGCTCAAGCTTGGATATTCAAGTTCTATTTGACGAGTTTGTAATTAATTTTTATGTCCATTTATAAATGATGAATTTAATAGTGATGAATCTTTCTGGTTTCGGCTGATCATTCGTAGATTAACTTCTCAATTTAAAAGCATCCAGTATGCTAAAACAAGATTAAAGACTTTGGATTATACAGATGTACTTCCTTCAATAATAATGGTTTTCGTACAGAAGCGTTCGCTTTAGGAAAACGAAATACATCGTCAAAATTTCGCATCAAACTGCGATCATTATTTTTCGCACGAAGATACTTCGGTTGGATGAAAAATCATGAAGATTTCGATGGTTTTGGCTTTTTGTGAAACGGTTTCACTCCAGTTGAACACAATTGAAAGCCTTTCCCATGGATTATTACTGATTTTTTTTTTATAAATTAACGGAAAAATGTATTATTCTGCACAGGACAATACTGGCAGGAATAAAAACAGAAAAATGTCGCGAACACTTTTTTTTAGCTTTTTTTCCTCGCGGAAGTCAAATTCTTGCAATTGAACAAATTCAAGATTTTCTAGACCTTCGTTGCATTTTTACAATGCAGCGATGAATTTCTCCAGTTCTTAATCTAGGTCTAGGACTTATAATTTGACTGCCATACAATTTCATTCCAGCCAAAAATGTTCGCCTTCAGCGCAATTTCTCTGGAATTCTTTCGATTGCGAAGGACTTTTCATCATGCCCAGGGGAAATGATAGATTTCACCAAATGCTGAGCATAATTCTCACAAATAGGCAACCGAATTTCTGTTTCTCATCATAAAGTCACTTTACGTAATTTCAAATTTTACAAAGCGACGAACAAGGAATGCTGGAAAGTATTGTCAGCACTTGTAATGAAGTTCTCGGAAACTGGTACAATTTCTGAGTTGAATGTCTCAGAAATAACGTGGGATGAATATCAAAACTTGAATCCAAGTCCTCGTTTCTTTTTTTTATGTTATCCTTCCGTTTCATTCCCAACATAAGAAATTTCTTGCTTAGAAAATGTCAACTTCGGCCAACCTTCAGAAGCAGCATCACGAAACCAAAAATTTCCAGGATCAGAGTGATTTCTTTATTTGATTATATTCATCAGGTTTTGCTGTATTGCAAGTTTTTTTAATACTTCGAACATTTCCTAACATTTTATAGTGACTTTCAATGCATACAGCCAAGTATTGAGGAAGAAACCGTACCTCTTAAATTTCGGAGATGAAAAATATTAATGGCAAGGAAAATTTTAAATATGATTCTCCAAAAATTATGCATATCCATCTGAAACTTCAAGACGGAAAAGTTCAAAATCGACAGGTACTTGAAAAAAAAATTTATAAACATACAGCATTCGGTGAAGTGATTTTCAAACGCGTTCAACAAAGAAGGTACGGCAGCAATCAACCATACACAAATGGCTTTCGTGAGTCGAAGTCAAACAAGTACTTGTTTCAAATTCAATGTCCGCGGGGAAAGAATTTAAACGAGCGAAAAAATAGTCTCCATCAATAATCAAGAAGTAATCGCCGCAGAGCAAATTTATTCGGCTCATCAAATCATGTTTCTACAGACGAGAGAAACCCGAGCTCCGTCGCATTATTAAAAGTTTGAATTTTCATACGATGAGCAATTTTGAAAGACACTAATTGCTCCTTTGATAGTAGCGTAGACCGTAGAGTACATGGAAAAGCTCTTCATTATTTTTTTTCACCACAACAATGCTGAAGAATTACGAACGCGGCGTAACCTTGAAACGAAACTGACAGCATGAAACAATGATGCTTAATACTAAGGTCGCTCTCGGGGGAAATTATGTGTCAAATATTGCCCGAAGCTCGCAGTTCGCGGTATAATTCCGCAAAGAATGTCCAGGAATTAACTCGATTCTTCTTTAAATTCGGAATCCTGAGTGATGCTAATTTAAAACTCGAAACGAGGTAAGTACGAACGCAGAGTAGAATTGGATTTCAATTGATCCCACGCACTCGGAATAAGCGCGCTGATCGCGAATCATATAGATGTCGCTCCCTCAATCGCGAACGTCGAAGAATCCTGGAGGGAAAATAAGTGCAGCAAAACCTCATCGCTCGGGATTGAAGTTTTTCCTGCACTCGTTCCTCGCGCCACAAAGGAACCATAAGACGTCGACGAATATGTAACATCAAATCCCACTCTGTTCCGCCACGAAAGCGGCTCACAACAGGCACAAAAGATCACTGAGCAAAACAAGAGAGAAACAGGCGGGAAAAGAGAAAAGAAACTCAGCACACACCACATCCTCGTCACGTACACACTGATCGAAAAAATCTCAGCTCCGCAGTGTAACGAACACGCATACATATATATACACACATGCACTCCGGTGGGGGCTAATTTGGCCCCGTTCCAAGTCTTAACTAATGCTAGTCCGGCTAAAAATAAAGGAAAGTTGAAGAGAGCAAATGGGGGAAAAAACGAAGTCGTTTCCCGCCGCATTCGATTCAATGATCGTCGAGGCAGCATTTATCGCTACATTTCCCTGCAGCCCGAACACACACACTTAGACACTAAGTTGATGTACACTGGCTGTGTAAGAGCGAACATCTCACTGTTCCGGAACTGCGGAAGTGCGCGAACAGACCCGATAGCGCATGAATTTCTTATACTGTACAATAATGTTTTCCGTGATTTCCCAGGGCGATGTCAGAGATGAACTCTCGTCTTCAGACGATATTTCGATGAACCACACAAAACACGAGCTGTTTTCATCAATTATCGACTCAATTATAAATGGAATCCGCATGTCCAGGTCACAGATGTATGTTTGGCTTTGCACTCCAAGGTCAGTAAGAAAATAGCCGACCAATTTATATTACTCGAAATTTTACCCAGCAATGAGACATATTCCCGTGATATGGATTCCTGAAAATGAGAACGAATCGTAAATCTGAAGGATCATATTTCCACACTGATTTTCAATCGCAACTTTCTCAATGAAATAAAATTAGTTTCATAAATGTAACTATAAACGTTACCTAACGTCACCAACAGAACTTCACACAGACCTAATCTGCTGTAACTCCCGACCTAAAAAATTATCATATTCGATGAAAAATCTCATATAAATGTGGTACAGCAAATAAAAAGTAGCAGAATATTGTGATAACTGATGACGCCACACAGAAATGAATGAATATGTATAAAGGATCTGCCAAAATTCAGTATGGAACGAGAGGAATTACCTATGTCAAACTTGTGGTTCAAAAATCCGTGTTTCGTCTGTATCACAATCGGTTCACAACAAAGTACTGTACAAAGCAGTTGGATGCATGGAGTAGCATACTGTCACAACAAATCTCATCAAGAACACCTGAGTACAACATACAGTATTATTTTCGAAGTTCATGGAATTTAGCCACGCTATTATTCGTGTCCCACAATGAAGAAATTCTGCATGACCATGATTTTTAAAATTGTTTTTTAAGGTTTTTTATTAAAACAAGATTCAACTACCGTAGAAAACTGCAAGATCGTCGCATTTTCTGTCACAGAGTAAAACGACACCCAAAGGGGTTCTTGGGATTCTCGGGATCAAGGACTGAAGGCCAGGGATCCGAATCGCACAGCGAAGAAGGTCCA